TTAAAGGTAATGAATATTTTTTTTAGGCGTGGGCGTCATACAGCAAATCGGTGTTCAGTATGATAGCTGGGAACACAACTGGGTATACTCTTATAGAAATACACATATGATCTTGTCATGGCTAAGAATTTACGCTGTGCAATAGTGCAAACATGTCCTTTAGCTGCGGACACACATTTACTGTAGTTGGGCGTACGTAATGTAAGTGTGCCTCACAGGTGAACAAAAACACGTGTTATAGCTGAGATTAAACACGTCTTCCAGCTAAGAGTATACATGACCTGTAGTTGAGAGTAAACAGGTCTTCCAGCTAAGAGCATACATGTCCTATAGCTGAGAGTAAACAGGTCTTCCAGCTAAGAGCATACATGACCTGTAGTTGAGAGTAAACAGGTCTTCCAGCTAAGAGCATACATGACCTGTAGTTGAGAGTAAACAGGTCTTCCAGCTAAGAGCATACATGTCATATAGTTGAGAGTAAACAGGTCTTCAAGCTAAGAGCATACATGACCTGTAGTTGAGCGTAAACAGGTCTTCCAGCTAAGAGCATACATGTCCTATAGTTGAGATCGAAAACGTCTTCCAACTAAGAGTATACATGTCCTGTAGTTGAGAGTAAACAGGTCTTCCAGCTCAGAGCATACATGTCCTATAGTTGAGATTAAACACGTCTTCCAGCTAAGAGTATACATGTCCTATAGTTGAGAGTAAACACGTCTTCCAGCTAAGAGCATACATGTCCTATAGTTGAGAGTAAACATGTCTTCCAGCTAAGAGCATACATGTCCTATAGTTGAGATTAAACATGTCTTCCAGCTAAGAGCATACATGTCCTATAGTTTAGAGTAAACATGTCTTCCAGCTAAGAGCATACATGTCCTATAGTTGAGCGTAAACACGTCTTCCAGCTAAGAGCATACATGTCCTATAGTTGAGCGTAAACACGTCTTCCAGCTAAGAGCTTACATGTCCTATAGTTGAGCGTAAACACATCTTCCAGCTAAGAGTATACATGTCCTATAGTTGAGATTAAACACGTCTTCCGCTTGGAGCATACATGTCCTATAGTTGAGAGTAAACACGTCTTCCGGCTAAGAGCATACATGTCCTATAGTTCAGCGTAAACACGTCTTCCAGCTAAGAGCATACATGTCCTATAGTTGAGAGTAAACAGGTCTTCCAGCTAAGAGCATACATGTCTTATAGCTGAGAGTAAACACGTCTTCCAGCTAAGAGCATACATGACCTGTAGTTGAGAGTAAACAGGTCTTCCAGCTAAGAGCATACATGTCCTGTAGTTGAGAGTAAACAGGTCTTCCAGCTAAGAGCATACATGTCCTATAGTTGAGAGTAAACACGTCTTCCAGCTAAGAGCATACATGTCCTATAGTTGAGAGTAAACAGGTCTTCCAGCTAAGAGCATACATGTCCTATAGTTGAGCGTAAACACGTCTTCCAGCTAAGAGCATACATGTCCTATAGTTGAGAGTAAACACGTCTTCCAGCTAAGAGCATACATGTCCTGTAGTTGAGTGTAAACAGGTCTTCCAGCTAAGAGCATACATGTCCTGTAATTGAGAGTAAACAGGTCTTCCAGCTAAGAGCATGCATGTCCTATAGTTGAGAGTAAACACGTCTTCCAGCTAAGAGCATACATGTCCTATAGTTAAGAGTAAACATGTCTTCCCGCTGACAGCATACATGTCCTATAGTTGAGAGTAAACACGTCTTCCAGCTAAGAGCATACATGTCCTGTAGTTGAGTGTAAACAGGTCTTCCAGCTAAGAGCATACATTTCCTATAGTTAAGAGTAAACATGTCTTCCCGCTGACAGAATACATGTCCTATAGTTGAGAGTAAACATGTCTTCCAGCTAAGAGCATACATGTCCTGTAGTTGAGTGTAAACAAGTCTTCCAGCTAAGAGCATACATGTCCTATAGTTGAGCGTAAACACGTCTTCCAGTTAAGAGCATACATGTCCTGTAATTGAGAGTAAACAGGTCTTCCAGCTAAGAGCATACATGTCCTGTAGTTGAGCGTAAACATGTCTTCCAGCTAAGAGCATACATGTCCTGTAGTTGAGCGTAAACACGTCTTCCAGCTAAGAGCATACATGTCCTGTAGTTGAGAGTAAACAGGTCTTCCAGCTAAGAGCATACATGTCCTGTAGTTGAGCGTAAACATGTCTTCCAGCTAAGAGCATACATGTCCTGTAGTTGAGAGTAAACACGTCTTCCAGCTAAGAGCATACATGTCCTATAGTTGAGCGTAAACACGTCTTCCAGCTAAGAGCATACATGTCCTATAGTTAAGAGTAAACATGTCTTCCCGCTGACAGAATACATGTCCTATAGTTGAGAGTAAACACGTCTTCCAGCTAAGAGCATACATGTCCTGTAGTTGAGTGCAAACAAGTCTTCCAGCTAAGAGCATACATGTCCTATAGTTGAGCGTAAACACGTCTTCCAGCTAAGAGCATACATGTCCTATAGTTGAGCGTAAACACATCTTCCAGCTAAGAGCATACATGTCCTATAGTTGAGAGTAAACATGTCTTCTAGCTACACACGTTTCCTAGCTGACAGTATAGAAGTAATATAGCATTCCCTATAGATGAGCGAAAACATGTCATGTAGCTGCGATGAAATAGGCCCTACAGCTGAGAGACAGTATGATCTACAGCTGAGAGCCAACTTGTCATCGCGTAGAGGAAATGTGTTCTAAGTCTGACAGTCGTACAGCGAAGAGCAATCATACATTTATTGAAAGAATATACTGTAAACTAATAGCTTTAAAGGTAAATAAAACAGATGCAATATTAAAACACATATGGTTATTAAAAGTAAAACATATCCAGACAACAACGTGAACAACAACAAATGCATAATTATCTCAACACATACAGTAAACTACGTTTATAACGAACACGCTTATAACGAAATAACAGATATAACGAACTGTTTTTCGCCTCGACCATTTGTAATTATGCTGTATACGAACTACGGTTAATACGAAATAAATTTAGTTGTCCCTTTAAGTTCGTTATAACCGTAGTTTAATGTATTCACATTAGAGGCAAATTTCAAATAAAATCTCCGCCAATGTGGGTAAACGGACTTTCCAGACGTCCTGTTTTATCATAAAAGCATCCCTCTGAAACACAGGTAGAATATGAAAAATATATCTTTTTTCTGACGTGTTGCTTCATAGAATTTTATTTGTTTAAAAGACGGGACCTTTTACATTGTGGGGCCGTGTCAAATGAATGAGAAACGGACGATGCAAAACACTTAGTATTAGCTGGTGAAAAACCTAGATCGATAGCTCCCATGTGTTCAATTATAGCAATATTTGACACGTAATCACTTACTTGCTGATTTGATGACTACGGTGTGTTTCGAAACGGTCACTTGAGAAATCATCTGGCCGGCAGACCAATTTTATGTCTTTGATAAATATCACAGAATGATTTGAAGCGGAAAGTGGCTTGTCACACACTCCCAAATGGTACTGTGGGTGACGGAAACGATTTTAGATTTCTGTTTTCATATTTCTCAAAGGATTCCTTCGACCCTGTCTGTATTAAAACAGATTGGAGGGAATAAATATAGGAAATACAGGTCTCCAACACATCCGGACCTGCACAGTTCCGAATGAAAACTCAAATAAATGACATAGTTTCAAGAACATATTTACATGCTAGACTCTACTCCCTTATAATTGACATTATGTAAGGATATGTAAATTGCCCAGCTGGTATACCACTATCATACGTCATACGTCACACGTCATACAACTCTTGCACAGAGGTTGTTTGACATATACCGTATATCCCCGAGTTTTGTCAGGTGAACAATTGACTTGCCTTTGCATGTTTTTGTCACGTGTGCCACAGTTGAGACAGGATCTGCTCACCTTTTCACGAACGCCTGTTATATATCAACATTATTTTGATCATCGTGATTCCTAAACACATGCTCATGATATAGTCGGAAACATATAATCGACTTTTGGTAGAGATTTTTTATGAATATGGAAAGAATTTTGTTTATATTCATTCAACTCCAGTCAATAAATGTGTAGGCATTATGTATCCCAGTTTCCTTTGTGATGTGGAAGGGAGCATTGTTTTATGCTAATGTCAACAATATTACAGCTTATTCAGGGGCGGGAGTTCTACATGGTCCAGGTGTGTGGCCTGCCATCTGTAGATTATCAAGTAGTTAGTATGTTCAGTTCCATCCAATGCCGTCAGCACGTTGACTCACAGTCAACCAAGTCACCGAACCTGACCCCCTGATCGTCACCCGTTATAGTCAACCCCATCGACAAGCATTGGGTCCTGGGAACGGTGAACTTTAACGCGGAATCTCCACAACGCTCTACCGATACCAAAATAATACCAAAAGCGGCGTAAAACCCAACTCGCTCTCTCATTTTCTCAAAATATAAAACGAATGTGTATGTATATGACTTGGTCATGTGTATATCTGAGGGCAAGGGTGGCGTCTTAGTCGTCAGAGTTACGTCCCTTGAATCCCGGTTCATCCCGATTATGTTTCTAGGTTTGTCAGCACCGAAGTGGTCGACGTCGAGACCTGCATCATTTCGAGCTCTCCTCCAACATTAGGCTGGCACGCCTATGTAAAGCGAGAGAGAGAGAGAGAGAGAGGGAGAGAGAGACAGACAGACAGACAGGCAGACAGACAGACAGACAGACAGACAGACAGACAGTGACAGACAGACAGAGAGAGACAGAGACAGACAGAGAGATGGCAGACAGACACAGGGAGATAGAGAGAGACAGACAGAGAGTGAGAGAGACACAGACAGACGGACAGACAGACAGAGGGAGAGGGAGAGAGAGAGAGAGCTGGAACACTGTTAAACAACGGCTTGATACCCAACTCACACACGTATGTATATCCTCAGTGTGGTTGACCTTTCAATACATAACGAGAATAAGACACTAATCATTACCGTCTCTTGCTGTTTCAGATGGTAATGGCTGCTGTAGCCGATGGTGAAAAGCTGCGTCTTAATCAGTATCAATTTCCGGGGCTTATGTACTGAAATGACACCCCATGTCATCACGACCATATAAGTGACATTTTGGAACCAACAGCGGAAGGCAATCAATAACTTAAGGTTCCACGTCAAAGGAAATGGACAACCCAGCAGGATAGTACATTGAACACCACCAAGAACATCACTAGTAGACTCATTTGTTCCATCTGACAACGACTTGGACGGATTTAGTTTGGAGTGTTTAATCACCTCTGGCTTTATAGATCGGTTTCGAATGGAAAACCGGTGGGCATCACATTTCTCATTCTAGTGTTGAGATAATGGTTTCAGGGCTCCGGGTTCGTCAGTAAAGGCTGCATTGATATATTGCAATATGGGACTTACAACGTCACCAAGATTAAACAGGACAGTGTTATTTAACAGTTTATAATACCACAGAACATCAGAGCAGAATAAAGATTTTCGGTGGCTCCAAAGACACTGGGCTCCACCAAGGACGAACGTGGGAACAACCATTTGTTAATGCAATATTAAGCTCCATCTACACGCCTAATGCAATGCACGTTAGGGTTTCCAAACCAACAGTGATTCAAGGAGGTTGCAAGTAGCTAAAAGGAGTGGAGACCACGGTAAAGATCACAGACAGCTTATGAGGCCTGGCGATCGCCGATCCTCTTTTGCGATATTTACGTCATTCGGTGTATTATATGACATGTTTATACCTCGGTAATCTTGTTTATGTAAAGCAGTAACCCTGAAGAACTTGCCTCCGCGATAATGAATTGAGACAAAATATCAACTTCATCACTTTGAAAAATCTCTGTGAAGAAATTATTCTCAGGATCTGATACACAAAACCTTGACGAATTTGACATACGAACTGATACAGTTGTTTTGAGTGACAAAGCTACCACGATGCCTTCAATCAACGTTTCCGACTACACCGTTATAGAAATAGACGTCAACGACATCATCGACGACATGCTCATCTTCAACGCTACTAACTCCAGCATGGCTGCAGGGTTACAGGACAATCCGTGGTACGTGTTTGTCCGGAAGTTCCAGACGGTGATGATACCGATAGTTTGTGTTGTTGGCTTCGTCGGTAACATTTTGGCAGCGGGAGCATTTCTTAGTCCAACGTTGCGGAACACCTCCTGCTGTTTGCATCTTGCAGTGAAATCCATCTCCGATGTTGGCTTTCTGCTATCATTGTTTATTGTGTGGCTTTATCGACTTGAGGTGCCTGCTTTTACAACCCAGGGAGTTTGCCAAGTTACCGTGTTTCTGACATACGTGAGTGGGTTTCTCTCTGTGTGGTTTGTCGTCATGATCACGTGCGAAAACTTCATCCGGGTATCCCTTCCAGGTCACGTGGCAATATGGTGTAGTGTGGCGCGTGCGAAATTTACAATTCTGCTCTTAATTCTCCTGTCTGTTGGCATTTACAGCTTCAGCTTATGGACAACTGGCGTTATACACCATAGCAATGGAGCCAATTGTCTTGCCTTCGAAGAGTATGAGAAATTGGTCATGGCCATGACATATGTTGACTCGATCCTCACCCTTGTGATCCCGCTCGTCGCTATGGTATTTCTGAATGTTGGAGTTGCAGTTGGTGCTATAAATGCACATAAACGCCGCAAGAGACTGTTCCAGAGCATCTCGCGGTCATCCAGCCGGAAGAAACGAGAATCGTCCAGTCCAGAAGCCAAAGTCTCGAAACTTCTTTTCGCTGTTTCAATGATTTTCCTCCTGCTCCATACTCCAAGCCACGTGATTCGGATCAAAATGATGTGGGTTCAGATCTTGTACAAGTCAGCCCCAACACTGTGTGATATCATCCTCCACAGAGTGTTTGAACTCATGTACTACATGAATTTTTCGGTGCATTGTGTTGTGTATCTGATATTTGGCGACAATTTCAGAACAGTGTTCAAATTGTTGTATTTGCCGATCTGTTTTAAGTCAACTCCTATGCAAAACAACTCTTTTAAGACATATTGCAAGAGAGGGTCAGAAACAGAGGCAATATTAAAATAATGTGGATATTGGTGCATGTTTAATCTTCTAACTGCATCTTTGAGACATGTACATGCGGGAAAAGATGCAGCAACAGACGCAGTCATCTTCTACAAGAGTAAGTTCAAAGCAGGCCTAGGTGCGTGTTGAAAAGGAATAACAATAAATATAATCGCAATTAAAAAAATAAGCTTGATGAAACTGTTTTTCTACTGTTGTAGAATGCTGTACAGTCAACAGACAATACTGCCATCTCCTTAGTACTCCACTTATGTACATAGGGATATTGGTGGTTCATTGTCCATGGAAACAATTATTTGAATTGACTAATGAACATCGAAACATGCACCCTATTTTTTCAAATGAATAAATCATGTTCGTTCAAATTGATTCATTTTTTTATATTTTAGAAGAACGACCAGACCTGATTCTGGAACTATCATTTGTAAGAGTATATTTCAGTGCTACAAGTATACTTTCTGCTGTGCAGCATCAGGCAACAAACAAAACTCTCACCTGCTATTTAAATTGTGTGAGTGAGGGCAAGACATACTTACCCTATTCGCTAACACCTGGTGTCATTACTGATTTTCAGTGATCCATTTATATAATTTTCACCGCTTTTTTTGCCTTCTACGCCCTGTTACGGCGAATAATCAAGACAGGTTGACGTCTCATATGTAAATATGACACGGCATTAGATCTCCATTTGAAAGTCAGTTCAAAATACCAAAAGGGATTCAAACTCATCTATCGCTGCCCGAAGCAATGTCATCAAAACCACTCGCCGAGATATGGATTAAACATCGTTGATACGACTCACTCACTCACTCACTCACTCACTCACTCACTCAATGTCCTCTTTAAGACATGCAGTGTTGAATATAATAAGAGACGAGTGTGCGGTATTCTTGTTAAAATCCCATACAGATAATATTCCAGGTACGGAATCAAGTGGACCAAACAAACATGACCATGACATTATGCACGTTGGAGTACGATGTCACGCGACCAACCAAGTCACCGAGCCTGACCACTTCTGTTCCTTTATCCTAATGGGGAGTGCAAGTTTTCCTGGTTTGTCAGTGTGTTTTGATCGTTAAATAAAACATATTACGTTGGCTTCTCAAAACTCAAAACACGTGCAACAAGACGCAGTTGTTGGCACGATGTTAGACGAAGCTTCATCAATAATGAAGGAATAGGACCTCTTTGAACCTGTACGTTATTCAATGCAAATCTAAAACCTATTAACGTTTCAAAAAGTCAAAACGGATGTTGTTTTGAACAAACGTATTGCTTGTGTTAAACGCAAATGTACAAATACTAGATACCAAATTTACCAAATGACACAAATGACAATTGGAGCACACATTGACGTTTATATTGCCCATCGATTGTCAAAAATAGTATTGAATCGTATAGTTAGTAATCATACATATTTACCTGTTCACCAAACACTGTTTTATATGCTTCCGTTTCGTAAACCGTAAGTGTATATTACTATAAACCAAACGTCACGTCATACAGTAATCGGGAAAACATAAGTTTTCTAACAAACTTACCTGTTCTTGTTGATGTACGGTCAGTAATATAAGTTGACAACCTTTTGATATTGTTTGGGTTAGAGGGGGGGGGGGGGGGGGGGGGGGGGGGGGATTAGTATTTTTCCTCAACCATCGAAATCCTTGAATCAAAATATTTTATTCAGAGCTTCCTCTAACAAATTAGTTTGACAAACAAATCCAACATGTTAATCCAACATTAAATGCACATGTACCTAATATATAAATCACCTCTTTTAGCACCGTATTGACAACCATTTGGACAACGTTTGATGGCACAAAATACTCGTACAAAGGGAATTTGTGATTCTATATTGAAAGAAGCATCGTACAATATTTGTACGTTTCGAAATATCGCGAAACGGAACATTGGCAAATATAAAAATACATGGATAGTCAACATTTATAACATTCATATAATGAAATGTGTAAGTTTCAGACAAAACATAATAACATAATACATGTACTTAAACAAACACACTAGACACAACGTACTTGCTGCCAAAAAAACAATTACAACATCTGATGATTCAAATCAAACAAAACCTTGATAATACGCAGTTTGTTTGTTTGTTTGGTATTTAATACAATCAAAAACATTCTAGCTATATAATGACCGGCTGTAAATAATCGAATCTCGACCAAACAATCAATGGATTGATATTATGAACAATGTTTAGTCGCTTTTTACGGCAAGCATAGGTTGACGAAGACCTGTTCCTCCCCGGATCTTCGAATTCCCGGGTCCCATCATGATGGTATTCTGGTAGCTGATAGCATGAGCAATATCATGGGAGCTCGCAGTATTACCAAGGAAAGGTTTAGGGATGAATGACATGATATCCATGCCATGAATTTGTAAACTTTAAATGTTTGTTTGTTTGTTGTTTAACGCCGCACTCAGCAATAATCCAGCTATATGACGGCGGTAGGTAAATAATTGAGTCTAGACCAGACAATCCAGTGATAGACATCATGAGAATCGATCCACGCAATTGGGATACGATGACATGCATCTACCAAGTAAACGAGCCTGACCACCCGATCCCGTTAGTCGCCTCTTACGACAAGCATAGTCACCTTTACGACAAGCATAGTCACCTTTACGACAAGCATAGTCACCTTTGGTTGCTGAAGACCTGCTTATCCGAATCTTCACGAGTCTTACGCCAAGTGGAATCTCACAACCAGCGGAGGTCGAGAGGGAGGGACCAATTCTAACCCGGAAACTCCACGTGTTCCCGAACTAGTCTCATTCGACTAGGAATGGGGTGCCAAATGGCTGAAATCCTTCTCCACCTTGTGCATTTCTGTACTCATGGTTTCAATTAAATTACAGAAACTAATTACACTCCAATGAAACCCAGATAATTCGAACCACTTTGGCACGAACACACCGTTTTCTCCTCAACCGTCGGGATTAAGGGTGTTTCACTGTGTGCAACATAATGCCTTGATACAACTATCAGCTTCCGTATACATAAACATACATATGTATCCACATTTTTTACGTGTATTAAATACACAATATAAATAATTCATACAGATACAATCATGTTATCTGGTTTTTTTCAATTGTCAATTCGCTGCTACGACAGCCGACGAAAAAAAATAAGTCCCTGATTTGCTTGTAAGTGTTCGTTTGTTTGTTTGTTGTTAATGCCGCAATATTCTAACTACACGGCGGCCTGTCAATACTCGACTCTGGACGGAACAATCCAGTGATTGATACTACATCGATCCACGCAATTGATTACATGCAATCTACCAAGTCACTGTGAAGATCCAGGGTAAAATAGGTCTTCAGCAACCCCTGCGTGCCGTAAAAGGTGACTATGCTTGTCGTAAAAGGCGACTAACGGGATCGGGTGGTCAGGCTCGCTGACTTGGGTGATGCATGTCATCGATCCCAATGGCGTGGGTCGATGCTCATGATGTCAATCACTGGATTGTCTGGTCCAGACTCGATTATTTACAGACCGCCATCATATAGCTGGAATATTCCTGTGGCGTTTAACAACAAACCAACCAAAACCAATACCAAGTCACTGAGCCTGACCACCCGACCCATTAAGCCGCCTCTTACAACATGTGTTGCTAGGGACCTACATGCTTACTCTGAATGCCCGCACGTTCATTGGAAATGAAACAAGCTCCAATATCACAGCGGCCTGAATTAATCCAGTCTGGCGGCGTACGGTGTTGCTTGAAATATCAACTGAGAGAGTCTGAGTGTAAGATTTACACACCGACTTTAACAATATTCTCGTCAGATATATAACGGGCTACCATTATAAGACTTCAGACATTGGAATCATGAGGAAATTCGAACCAATGTCTTCAGTGTGATGAGTCAATGCTGTAATCTCTGGACTTCAGTCGAACTTCTCACACTTAAAATCAATATATGTCTGTATTGCAATGCGTCTTGTCACTGCACCTGGTACAGGCATAGGTTCGTAATCACGTCAGTGTTTGAGTTAACATTTAACGTCGCATCGGTATTATTTCAGCCATTTAGCGACGAGCCCTTACACGTGAAGATCAGGGTTAGAATTGATGAGAAAAGGGATCGGGTTGTCCGGCTTGCTTACTTGGTTGATGCATGTCATCGTGTCCCAAATGCGTGGGTCGATGCTCATGATATGATTGTCTGGTCGAGACTTGATTATTTACAGACCGCCGCCATATAGTTTTGTTTTGTTTTTGTTTGCACTCAGCACTCAGCAATATTCCAGCTATATGATGGCGGTCTGTAAATAATTGAGTCTGGACCAGACAATTTCAGTGACTGACATCATGAGCATAGATCCACACAATTGGGATACGATGACATGCATCAACCAAGTCAGCGAGGCTGACCACCCGATCCCGTTAGTCGCCTCTTACGACAAGCATGGTCGCCTTTACGGCAAGCATGGGTTCCTGAAGGCCTATTTTACCCCGGATCTTCTCGGGTCCGCCGCCATATAGCTGAGGTATATGCTGACCATATGTCTGAAATATTGCTGAGAACGGCATTTAACAACAACCACAACGTACCATCTGGGATCCGGCCATAGTCCCGGATTTAGGAGGAAGGGTGGGTGCTGGAGTGAGGGGAACGGCAACACTTTGAAGTATATTATTGTAATGAAAAGTATGGTGTACTTACCGAGATCCTCATAGTTTGTATCTAACACAGATTCATATACTCACACGCAAAAGAAACGCAAGTCGAGTATGCAGTACACATGTTATTTATTTTCAACAGTAAAGACAAGAAATATTAATAGGGCAAGATTGACAAAAATTTGACTGAAGACAGTTTAATGGATTAAAAGGCAGATGACATAATTGGTTTTTTCAAATGTTAAGGGCTTACACAGTTTCGGGTGAATACCCAAAATGTCAGTCAATACCTGGTGTGACCACCGTTACCATTGATCACTGCCACACATCTCCTGTACATTGAGTGGATCAGACGATTTGTGAAGGCCCTAGGGATCCTCCTGCACACATCCAGAGCAGCTGTGCGTAGTTCACCGGCAGTTGTAGGGACTGGGCGCACATTGTGCAGACGCCTTTGAACCTCATCCCACAAGTGTTCGATGGGGTTCAGATCAGGGCTGAGGGCTGGCCACGGTAGAACACGGATGTTGTGTTGTTGCAGAAAAGCCATGGTAGCTCTGGCAACATGGGGACGAGCGTTGTCCTGCTGGAAAATGTGTTGTTGATGTTGTGCAAAACATGGAACAACGTGGGGTCTGATCACTTGGTCGATATACAGCTGAGCAGTGACGCCGTGTCCCCGACCTTGACCAACATTCAGAAAG